GTAGATCTCATGATTAAAGTCTTGATGTTCATCAGAGAAACCTTTATGTAAATGTCCCTTCCACTTACAATCAATTTTGAGACTGTGCATTTTAAGAGGAGTCATGTTGGGGAGTAAGAAGGTTCCACTGTGTGAAAGATAGATGGCTATTAATAACAAAATATTCATACTTTTTTAGAGCACTTTCCTTATTTATTTTTTTTAAAATCCAATCAGCCTTTGATGAGGGTTTTTAGAGGAATATCTATGTTCAGCATAGCTTATTTAAGACCGAGAATGCTGAACTTGTATAACTCCAGGTAAAATAATAAAAGTTCAGAGGCCTGGATTATTGCTAAACTTCACAGAAGACATGCAAAAAATGCTATCCAAGTGTTCAGTTAAGCAAGGAAATAACTAAAACCAGGCTTACATATCTAAACAAAAGCGGATTTTAAAGAGATACTGCAGCTGCCTTTGATTTTTAATTTTTTTTTTTGTACAACCTGGCATGTCACTGTTCCTGGGTGCAGAATAGCTATGATTTTGAAATGTTGAAGTCCTGTTCTGTTTACCCTGTTGTCTCATGAAAATAAGGTTCGTATTGTCTTCCGATGCTCCACTACAAACTGACTGAAGTAAATTGAAGCTACTGAGTAAAATGTACCTTCTTTGTAAAAGAGTAGGAAAAACTTCCCAAGGGAAGTGCTTAATAATGACAGCTCAATTGCAGCTTGCGCCAGTGCTAACTACAACAAGTGGCTTCTTTGATTTAGACAAGTTAATCTGAATATTGGAGTTGCTATGAAACTATGTGTTGCAGTAGCAAAACATATTTACTTAGATCAAGGCAGGAAGGGATGGCAAGGAAACTTAGATCTGACTTGTTTTCCACAAAGGAATAATAAAAAAATCATTGAACTGGGTCTCCAGATGACTATTTAAAACAGTTAAAACTACCTACTAAACTATTGCACTTCTAGCCTGAAGATGGAAAACAAATCCTTATCGTCTGGTCTACTAGTGCCATCTATTGTGTGCAGGGAAAAATACAGATACTAAATGTCAATGTTGTTTATTTTCTCTTTAAAATGTCAGAAATATTCTTTCTGCATTACAGTACCAATTAGAAAACACAGCCATACAAAACAAAGCTCATACAATAACTTTATATATATATAATACAGCAATTATTATCATTTAGGTATATTACAGCAACATGCAGGACTCTAACCACTGCCAGGCTACACCTTTCATACATGCCTGTATGGACCATATGGGCACACACACACAAATGCAGCACAAGATAGATCCAGCTGTGATGGATTTAGTCAAAGCTACAGAATTCTTATAAACTAAATCCTACTGCAACTTCCTTATGGCAAATTTCTCCCAAATAAAGGGAATTTGCTCAAATTCCAAGGAAATAAACATTACCCCTTCTTGAAATCCAAGCATCATGCTGCATTTCACCACCTGTTGCAGGAGAACAGCTCTTTTCCCAGCTTCTTCCAGAGAGAATATTTGCTGTAAACATTGTAAACCACTAGGATCAGATCACCAACCCTAAACACTCTGAAGTCTTCAAGCAAACCCTCCAAAACCTTGAAGGCTTGTAAAAACGTGGTGTCAATATTGAGACTAAGACTGCATTTTCAGAACAGTTTAAAATATCAAGATGTTGAATGCTTTTACAAACTTCATATGGAAGTGTCCAAAACATTCTGACATGTGTAAGTGTAATCTGTCTAGCCTGCTTGAAACTTTCACAAGTACTGTCACCAGATAATAAACCCCTTGCTATCAAGATTGTTTTGCTACTACCAAACATAGGCTTCTGTCAGAGATAAGACAGTATGCAAACAGAGCAGATCAGAAATAAAAAATACATACCTTATGAGAAAAATATATGATAGAATCATAGGATCATAGAACTATAGAATGGTAGAATGGTTTGGGTTGGAAGGGTCCTTAAAGATCATCTAATTCCAACTGTCCTGCATGGGCTGGGACACCTCTCAGTAGACCAGGTTGCTCAGAGTTCCATCTAACCTGGTCTTGAACACTTCCAGGGATGGGGCTTCCACAACCTCCTGGGCAACCTGTTCAGTATGATGTTCACTGCCTGAGCACACATGAGAGAGACGAGCAGAAAGTAAGTGTCCTGTGACAGAGTTTTTTAGGTATTTTGAGTTAATTGAGTTCCATCCTTACATTATTTGCAACTGTAAGAGACCACAAAGGTAATGTTTAACCAGTAAATCAAACTGCACAACCTAGAAAAATGAGGCTTTGCACTTGTGGAAGGTGCTGAGAAATTATTTAACACAATCTCTAAAATTAACCCTAATTGCTATGAGATTTACTGTAGTATATGCAGAAGAAGTTTCTCAGTCACTCACAAGGGGCTGACAAATAGAAAACATCATGTAGACTAGATGGTGAAAATTATTCTAGCATAACTCCAAAGAAAAAAATAGCTATTTCTTATTGCTATGAAATATGAAAATACAGAGAAAAGCTCTTGTTGCAAAGCAACAGAAGTGTACTGTGACATTATCTATAATAACCTGTAGAGATCACTTGGTTGTAAAAATTTAAATAGCATTATTTAAGAAGAGTCATCCACAGCTAAAATGGTCCAAGTTGCTAGAATTATTATTTTTTTTCAACTGCTGGGAATTTTTCTACTCTTATTTCAACAGAAAAAATAATTAGGTTTTTGACTGAAAAGCTGCCTAGTGCCACAGAATAATCAAGGTGTTTTCAACAGTTGTTCACTGCACAGCTGAAAAGGTAACAAACCATTGTCTCCATCTGCATGTTGACACATGTTGATGTTTTTTGGCCCAAAAAACTGAATAAAAGGCGAATTGTTGGTAACACATTCCTTTGGTTATGAATGTAACTCATATAAAAATGTGCCATGATAAAAATCAGAAAAACTGGAAGAATATAATTCAGTAGTTCTTCAGTCCTCGAATTAACACATCAATTTGGCAAACAAGGTTACCTTGATTCAGTCACTTTCTCTGAAATAAAAACCTAATTTTTTTAGGAGACTATAAGCACTCTAAAGATTGGCAGGCTGGATATGGTTCTTTTGAGGAGGGCAGAGTACCAAGAGATTAAATAAACATGAACTTGTTTCAGGAGCCTTGTCTTGGGATGGTTATTTCATAGAATCATAGATTTAATGTTTCTTGCCTTACAACTTGTGAAATGTGTTGTGGTAATTTCTTGCCTAAAGCAGAACAATACAAATATTACATCCTCCTTCAAGTGTGCTTGGACTCACTGTAACAACACATTAATATTAGTTATAGTTGAACTTCAGGTTAATGTAATTTCTTTTATCAATGTAAAGGGATTAGTAAATTGATGAGCTGCAATCTGTTACCATTTGAAATAACTTCAAGCTCCTTATGCTTTAGTTTAAGAAAGCTAGGAATAAAACGTGATAAAAGAACAGTACACAAAGCTCTAAGAAATAGGGTATTTTCTTAATATGGCCTTCAAAATAACAGGATGGCACTTTTCATTGTTGATATACATTTTCTTGTATCTCTGATCTTCACTTGAAGGAATGTGTGGCCCTGCCCAGGATACCTACTAAGCAAGACATAAGTCTTGCATTTAATCAGTAGCAAGTTTGCTTTTTAACATGATTGTAACTATAAACCTCTTCAAGATAAGCTGAACACTGTGGAAAGCAAATTTACCAGTGAAAAACTTTTTTACTATTTTAATTTGGAAGAACTTGTAAAGAAAAAGTGGACTCTTTAAGTAGTGAAACAGCTGAATTTAATAGTTTAAAATACACAATAAAGGAAATATCCATAGATGACTAGTCTTACGACATCACTCTCCAAAACACATATTTGTTTTATCTCATGGAAAAAGAGCAACTGAAAATCATCAATATTTCTGCATAAACTATGGCAGACCATGGCAAATGTAATTTTCAGAGAACTTGATTGACAGCCACGAGGTTAACGCACTAAATGGAGGTAGTGAATCAGTCCGCAAAAGACCCTTTTGCCTCCAGATGCTTGCAACGTCTGACTGCTCAGCCATTTCCTTTCCAAGTCTTTCATTACAGAAGTAAGTTTGTAGCAGCAAATATGCCATATCTTCACTACAGAAGCTCTCTAGGATTTCTTTTTCTTCAGTTTTATGTATCTAAAATACTCATACCGAACACCTGAGAACTACTTGTGCCTCTTCTTATTGACCATTGACTCCAAATGACTTTCTGGAGGTCCTCTTCATTCCATCACTTCAGGTTAAAGTATAGGCTGGAAAACTTCTCCTATGTATTAACCAATTTGCAGTAAGATTTCTCTTTAGTAGACCATGCACAGATGTGAAATTACTTTCTATTCTCACTTCAGTTTTAAGCTTCCTATGGTCAGCAGTGCATAAAGTGGAAAAAGGGGTAGGAGCACACTTTTACAACATACATTGCAGTGATGATTAGAAAGTATTTTCCAAGCAACAGAGCTTAAACTTCTCCTAAGATTTGTATACAGTGTCCACTAGTAGAAACAAGTAGCATGTGTCTCAATCTACTAGCTGCAAATTTATAGTTTTGAAACAAAGATGCCTGCTTCGACTCCAATTGTCCTCAACAGTCCTTGCAACTTAACACAACAGGAATTCAGCTGCAGTGTCTTCCGTTGTCTTTAGGCTTTCCAAATTCTTTGCAAAGTGTATTTTCTCAACTTGAATACTACTAATTAGACTATAGAAAATGAAAAGTATGTCTCTGTCCAAAAGGGAAGAGCTGAAGAGATGAAAAGTCTGTATGACTTTTAAGTGCTTCTACAGATTGCTTCTATTATAATATTTTTAATATATCAAACCATGTAAAAAATTATAAAACATTTCAAAAAGGTAGCAGGAACATTGCTGCAAGTTTTAAAAATGTTTTAGTGGATGCTGTTATAGATGTTGTGGAGCTGATGGCAAGGGTTCTTTATACAACTTTGAAAGTCCCCATCCCTCTGCACCATTTTCTGTAAGTAAAAAGAAATCTAGAATATTCATATATATAAAAAGTAATTTTCTCCACTACCAGGAGTCTTCATGTATTTCTGTTGATATCCTTAAAGAAACTCTCTAAAAGAAAAATAAAACAAGATCAGCTTAAGAGAAATTAATTTCACAGTTCTGTGGTAAAAAGTGCAAGGAGATAAAACAACAACAAAATATTAAGTTAAATAAATACTGTGATTTTTATTATATATATATATAAAAGCTTTTGTTTTTCTGAGTCAGGTGGTTGTTTTTTGTGAATTAATAGATCTGCTCTCTTTGAGCACTGGTTAGGACAAAAAGAGGAGAGAATATTTAAAGTCTTTTGGTCACTGTCAAACACTAAAATTGGACTTCATGCTGGTTTATAGCTGGGAATTTTAAATGTCTGCATTTGGCTTTAGTTTAATTCCATCACTTCCTTTTATTTTTTATATTAAAAATATTTACATATAGTTAAACTTATGATGTTGAACACTTTAGGATCCTTGATCTCGAGCAGACTTACCAACTAATTTAGCTACTCTGAGGACTGTAGGATTGTCTGCAAATATGTATCTCCAAGGGAAAAGTTTGACACTTAATAAAACAGATACAATCATCTATGTAGACAGCAAAGAGTGATAGACTGGCAATAAATACCTCCCCTCCAAAATGGTAAATTTAATGGTACATGCATTTCTGAATGGCACTTCAATATATTTTGCCAGTTTTAGAGGGAAATTATATGCCTTTAAGATAATATGCTGTATAATTTTCAACAACTACTTTTTTTTTTAAGTGCTTTGTTCTGAAGAACCTAATTTTTAATTTTTTTTATATAACGAAAAGCCCTACAGCCATAGTCTATTCAGTACTATTAGTCAAAATCAACAGGTACAGAAATGTTTGCTATCAGTTAGCAAAATTATCCTTAGCTGAAAATTTATGTCTGTACATGCTTATAAAAGTTATGTATGTATTATATATTGTAACCACTTCCATGCTGAGCAAGCATGTAAGTGAGGAAGCCAGAGGACTCAGAGGGTTCTCACAATTTTTCCTCCCTTCCCACCTCCATGAATTCTGGATATGGTTTCCAGCAATTTATCACAGCACCAATTGGCTTATGTATGTGCTCTTGATTATTAATTAGTTCTACAGTTATGCAAGTGCTTGGATTTAGATTTTTACTTTCTGGGACTTGTGGGAGGCAATGGTATATATGAAAGACCTGAGTATAGGGGATGACATCTGCAGTGATTGCATATGAGTTAGTTAATCAATATAATTATGTTATAAAGCAGCAGTTCTCAGTCTTTTCCACCTTAAGCTCTCTACTCCTTCTTGCAAAGATCCAAGTACTTTATGGGGAAAAACATCTCGAAGTCTGAGAAGGATAAGGAGGCCATGATCCTACTAACACATACAGTGATATCCAGAAGGTTTTGTCCTCAAATCTTCACAAGGCACTTGCCATGAGCAGTCTTATTGTTTAATTTTATTTTTTTTTACAAGTTCTTTTGCCAAAGTTAAGCCTCACACATTCGTTATTTCAGTGTTTTGTATCTCTCTACCAAACAAAACCCCCATGAACGCTGCAGCAAGAGCTGGTGAGGCAAAGCTTGGGAAAGTAAGTTCAAGGCAAGTTCCTGCCTTTCACAAATCACGTAGAAGTGTTTCCTCTTTAACTAATCTAGTATTTTCTCTTCCTTAAAGTCAGGCTTGATGCATCACCAGATCCAGCCACCCAAACAAGAAAATTTTCACATCAGTACTTTGCAAAAAGTATTTTATCTTCTTCATATCATGATGGAACATATATAAAAATGTTTTAAAATATATAAAATATTTTTTAAAAGAAAGGAAAGATCTAAGGTTGAAACACACTGGATTACTATAAAATCCCTCAGGTGGAAAGAAATGCAATTTTAGTTGCATCATTTATTTTGCTGCACTTTTGGAGGGCCTCTTTCTATAAAAAGATTAGTTAAAAGTAGAAGATATTAATTTACCAAATAATTTTCATGACCAGACAGCTATTAAACTGTTAAACAGGTTGATAAAACTGATCTTTATGTTTTAAAAACTAGAGGAAAAGTATTCACTAGTTAGACAGGAACCAGTTCTATGACTGATAAAGTTTGTTTCTGTATAGCTTTGGTGTATCTAGAAGAGTAAAAACATGGTAATTTTCTATTGCATTTGTTGTTATACAATTCATGGCACTTCTTAGTCACTGCTAAAATATGTAGATACCAACCTGAAAATCTCTAATGAATGTTAAAAAGAAGAAGATAAAACCAAAGGCGACTGTCCATTCACAAATTGCACTCATATAATGATAAGTATAATCCTGATGGAATGAGACATAAAATAAATTTTCAGATAAAACAAATAAAGAAAATAACTGTGGAATGCTATAAAAGCAGAAATTGCCTTCTGTAAATTCAACAAATATTCTGAGTTAGGACTCATCAACCCAACACTCTGTTGTGTAAAAGTAAATTCAGATTTATCTTTTACAGAATGGTAAGTATATTTATCAAGATTGCTTAAGTTCCATTAAGCAACATCTTGTGCACTAACAGAAAAGACAGCACAATAAATCTACAATTAGCACAAGATAAAAACTTAGCTTAAATATAATTTGCACCTGAAAAAAAAATTAGTTCTTATGTAAAGGATACAAAAGACCCCATATTAAAAACTTTTCCTCAGAGTCACTAAGCTTGGCAGTACTGTCCCCTACAGTAAACTCTCACAATATTTTAAAATAAAAGGCTACCCTCACATAACAGTTCCTGACAAGGCCTTTGTTTTTAAGTAGACCATCATGGAAAAACTATGTAATATGACACAAAGAGAAAGTAAAGCATTTTGTAACGTCATCAACAAATACGCCATCTGTTTCAGTAAAATAAAAATTCTCATCCTTGCTTCTCAAGTGTACAAAAAACTTCAAGAGAAAGATATTACTAAGATTATCTAACTTGTGAAGATTTATCTCACAGCTGCCTTGCCACTGTTTGATTCAAGTATATTTGCCAAGATGGCTTTTATTAAGCTCTTCAAGCAGGATACGTGCTCTGCATTATTTAATGTGTTTTTTGAAAACCTCCACATAGCAAAGTTTGTCCAAAAAGAAAACCTACCTTTCATAGTTACTATTCTGAGAACACTGAAATCAGCTCAAATACCTGATACTGACTTGGGTATGCTTCAGGTCAGCCCCTCAATGTGTAGCATAATAGTAAAGAGTATTTAATTAAATGATGGTGAAAAAGCTGAGAAAATAAATGTTGTAAAAAACCTCAAAAACTTCAAAATCAAATTGGTCCACTTCTGTTTCATATGTAAAGGTAACGTGACTATAAAAGCATGTAGAACCACTCAGTTCCAGAGTTTGTTTGTTTGGGTTTTTTTAACAATTTGTTGTATGGGTAAGTTTCAAATGCTTAGTTAAAATGAAAGTCTAACTCTCTGAAGATTGACCCATCCGTGACAAGTTTTCTTACCCAACCGGCAGACAGCTTTCTAATGAAGAAATAACTGGAATCCAGTGTTCCACAAATCAGTGAGATTTCACAAGTCTGTTAATGATAATGTACTATTTAAAGTCCCTGAAGTGTTCGTAATGTTATACACTGTTAGATAACTGTAACAGCATACCTCAAATAATATGACATGGGGTCAGTTGGATACCTAATGAGATTTTACCTTTTCACCTGGAGTCCAATCGATTTTTGTCATGGAAATTCGTGAAGCAAACACAATCACTGGGAAAAACACAGTGTAAAGGAAACTGTAAAATGTAGTGAGTAATAATGAAAAAGTCTGCTTACAAAACAAGACACTGTCTCCCCCTTCTGTAACACAGGAGATCCTAAACAACCAGAATATCAAGTCAAAGTATTAAGAAGACACATATTATTGGAAGGTAACTGATAGCAGCAACATTCAAAAAATATATAAAGCTGCACAAATAAAGGTTTCTGTGGGTTCTTCCAAAGTCCAGAGGGTAAGGAGAGACACTCCAAAATTTAGATTACATTCACAATTGAGAACTGTGGGAGTAGAACCCTGTACTGTTGGAAGGGGAACCATGTTGGTTTCCACTGGCCCACAGTAGGTGACTTGATATATTTGTACAACTGGGGCCCTTTTTACAAGCCCCTTTGCAGCTGCTGAAGCCAAAAGCAGGCTGTAGCTGGCTGGCTGATGTGATGATCTGCTGTGATCACTTTTCAACACTGGCAGATCACCTAAAGGCCAGGAAAGTCAGTGGGATGGTTCTAATTTCAGCGGTCTGTGGGAGAAGCCACTAAGTGTGTTGAGACTGTCTCTAGGGGAGGCATCTAATGAAGTCAAGCACCAACCAACATATTCAAAAGGATCTGCTTAGGCTTGAAGGAAATCTTGTGTATACAAATGGTATTTTATATGTCTGTCTGTTAGGTTCATTTTAGAAGTGGTGCTCCCCTTTTGCAAGCCTTTCTCCATATTCTCCTTCAAATGAAAGAGGTTGAAAAGTTGGTCTAGCTTTATTATCATATGAATCTATGAACAATATTGGGGCACTAGATTTTAATATAGCACTGAAATAAGAGATACAGCTTTTTAGAAGACCCTGAAACTCACCTTTATGATACTAATTGTGTATTGACATGCTATTTGCACTATTATGGCAGAAATATTAGAGATTCCAAAGCAAAGATTGTAGCCTCATTTTCATCCTTTATCAGCAACGGTTTAATTTAAAAAGGAAAATCACAAATGCATAAAGCGAAAACCATGGCACACACCATAAAGGATACTGGGAATGAAAGCAATGCATGATATTACAGATATGGCCATCCTTATGTGACACATGAAGTAAGTGTTCCATTGTGGACAGGACTTGTAAGAGATTATAGACTGAAGAGTAATATACAGAACGCCCGAGCCAAATGCCACCAAAGCTCCTATATCATGGACAATGGGAACAGACAGCTCCTGGAAAGAGAATCAGCACAATGGTTAGCAGCTACTACTTGTACAGTGGAAGGTATAGAGGAGCCCTGAGAAGACAGTAGACATATGCTGAGCACCTACAAGCAGTGGGAAACAGTCACTTGTCCCAGTAGTCTACACAGGGAAGATAAATGAAAATGGAGAAAGAGTAGCTCAGGCAGGTAAATGGGCCATGTCCAAAACTACCATGTCTAAGTCCTTTCCTGTGTTCACATAAAAGCATAGATCAATTTTAGTACTGTTCAACAGCTGGTCTATTACCAATTAATGTTTCCACAAACAGGAACTGTATTGTATTTTTCTTAAGAGGTTCCTATACCTCCTTTTTACCTTTACCTCGCCAAAGATTTTCATTCTTTGGTGTGAAAGTCTACTCTGCATTTGTGTGGTGATATTCTAGCAAATGGAGAAGTTTCATGGGAGCTGTTCTAAATAGTGACTGCTATAGTTCCATCCCCCACCCTCTAGTGGCCAGCCACAAGGTTCTGGGAAATAAGTCAGCAAAATAAGTTCTTGATATGTAGGTCTTACATTGTCAGTCTCATGAATTATTCAACCCTCTTACTCTTCTCCACATCATCAGCCACTTACGTTCAAGTTCCGCAACAGGTGAATGTGTATAAAATTCCAGTATCACTATATGTGGCCTATATTTTTGTAATACCCTACCAATGAAAGATTCTCTCCTTTAAAACACAAACAAGTAGAATATCCAGTAACAAAACAAATTAAGATCCTAAATAAAATATTCTATTCTAAATGTTTCAAAAATTTACAAATACATTGAAATCTAATATCAAACAAGTAAGGTAGCTTTAAAGATCCTTTCCATCACCAGAGCATAGCAAAACGTGCTCTGAACTGACCTGCAACAGTTCTGTTTTAGTGATTCATGGAAACACACCTATAGACTTTCATTAGATATTTTAACATCTTTCCTGCCTGGAAGCCACTGTTTTCTCTGTCTTGTAATGACGATTATGTTCACATACTCTTTCAAATTATTTTTCTCCATGCTTTTCTTTCTACTCATTCCCTTCTATCTCTCCATGACGTACTAAGTTCAGTCAGATTTTAAAGCATGTTCCTCACACAGGTTTTTAAGTATCATATCATGTATTTGTATTTTATTCTCCTCTATTCTATTTTTTGCCTTCTATATGGGAATTGGTATGGAAAGCATTAAGCAAGCTTTTTCCATTTAGCCCCTATACAGAGTTTTTTTAACATGTCTCTCATGATTGCTCCTATGAAAATGCCACAGCTCCCTGAAAAACCCCATCCTACTCAATCATACATACATATATCACTCCCTGCAGAATCTGGGAAATGTTGCTACATCTGCAACAGCAAACCTCCAGGCTTTCTAGTCAAAGAAAGGAAAATCTCTCTTTAATCATGTGTAATACTCAACAAGCAAAATCAGACCTGGGTTTTGGCTTTGCCTTATTCATTAAAGGCTACAAGATTTGTCCTTCTATATCCAATTATATTCTCCGAGCTAACCCTTCACCATCTTTCATTTCTGTATATCAATCATTGTGTTATTTAAAAAAGGGAACAAACACTTATTCATGACCATTACTTATTTTCTCAGAAACTCTTCTGCTTTTAGAGGACAGGCTCCTAGTGTTTTCTTCCACCTCATTCCTCACTTGAGCTAAGTGTTCAGAAACCAATGCCATTAAAGCATCAGGCTACCTACCCCATCTTACATTGAAGCAAAAAAGGGTGAAAAAATTTTCCTTACAACTAATTATGCTACTTAAAAGACACAACATAAGTGGGACTCGATTTGAGTAAATAAAAGAGAGCCTTAAATATTTCCAGTATAATTTCATACTGAAGGCTTTTCAACAGATTAGGCATTATTCTTTGGGGAAAAAAGGAAAATAACTGATGCCAAACAGTGTCAATCAGCTCTACTACAGTAGTCAGTTATGGTGTTAACTTTCCTGCTGGGGAAAAATACCTGTTACGAAACAAACAGGAAGTGCACATGAATGTGAATTTTGTGTATGATCCACTGATTAGAGGGACTGGACTAAATGCTAAAGAAATAACTTCTAATTCAAGCTAAGCTTTTATCTCCTGACCTGAAACAATCACTTGACCTTGAGCAAATCTCACAGCCTCTTCACGTTTCATTATTTATTCTACTGGCAAGTGGGGATAAGAGTGTATTGTTCACTAGTTGAAAGACAAGTCTTGCAAGCCCTCACTTCCATCTTCCTGGGCAATTAAGCAACCTCAAAAATCTGCTAGATCAGATCCTTAGCTACTTTAGATACTCACTGTGCTCTGAACCCTTCCTGCAAACTGCATCTAAAGTGGAAAGCAAGGTCAAAGCAGAGGAAAGTGGAACTAGGTGATGAAGGAGTTTATGAACAGGCAATGAGAGACAATAGAGATTAGATAAGAACCAATGCTATAATTGTCAATGGGCCCCTCTGGGAACTTTAGGATCAAATTTTCTTCTTCCTTGACACTCAAAAAATATTTTGCATTCCTGATTTGCCTTTTCCTTATTCAAGCTGAGTTTGTTTTCTATTTCAGTCAAGCAGTGCTGTTCCCTGTCATCTAACTTTTTGGGGTTTTGTGTCACATATAAATATAATCAATAAGAGTACAGATATTTAAAACTAGAAGAGCATGCTTAGAATAGACTGAAGTGCCTTTGTAGTGTTTGTAATCGACACACAGTGCCTGGAGGTAAAATTAAAATGAGCAAGATATGTCTAAGAAAGGGGTTCTTGTCTGAAAATACCATGCAAATTTGCATGCAAAATTGTATTGGCTGCTGAAGCCCTGACATTATTTTCAGTTTCTCTCTATGTTGTCAGGTCACTATAGGAGCACAACAGTATTTGCCAAAATGTTCCCCAAGGCAGACCATCCTATAAAATAAATAATTTATCTGTTTCCGCAGATTTAAAGACAATATAACAAACTACCTGCCAGTTAAACTTGACTTGATTCTTAGCTGAGCTCTTCAGTGCAATTCTCCTAATATTTCTTTGTGTCAGAATCTACCCTATCATGTCTCCTCACTGGAAAAGATGAGAAGAGCAATGTTTCAAAATTTATCCTCTCTATTGAATTTTCTTTCAGATACTGAGGGCTGGACTTCCGCAATTTAAAACAAGATGTCTTATCCCTTTTGGCAAAATAAGTTTTAATTCTACATGTACTTATTAAAAGACTTAACATGTTGCTATGCCATCTCTTACAGACTCAAAACAATTGACTAATATTCTGCTCAACATTCTAACCTGTCAGCTAAGCCTAGTTTATTCTGTAGAAAATGCTGCCAGTGTGTGTGCCATCACTCAGGTAAAAATACAGGTGCTTTTGCTAGTCTGATTTATTCTGCCCTACCTGACAGTAAGCAAACTACACTGCAAACAGCAAAGCTTTTTTACAGTAAAATTTTTCACAGTGAAAAATTTACAGCAAAAGCATCTACATTAATTTGTTTTCTAGTACAGACTTGTAACAAGACAAGCACACGCAAAATCCCTTACTGACATAACGGTACAAACAAAAAATCTAGTATATAGGGAGAATGCAAATCTGTCTTTTTAAAGCTGCTGAAAAAAGGCAAGAGCAAGAAAGACATTCTTACTCCATTTGTAAAGGATCCACACTGGGATAATGTCAACGACTCTGATCTATTTCATTTTTAAAGTGGTAAAATAACTAGTTCGATTTATGATATGAAATTTTTGGTCATACCTGAAAATTTGCAACTATACCCATTCCAGTACAGCCCATCAATCCAATACATAATGAAAATATGTTGCATGAAGGCCTAACAAAGTGCGATGACTCATTTTGCTTCTCTATTAATAAATATCTGATGTACATTGTAATTACACCTGAAAAACAAAAAACACGTATTTTGTTCAATGATCATGTATTGCTTACACTTTAACACCTTTCTCTGTAACGTATTTGCATACAGAATCAAATTACAATCATAATACAATAAATAATACTGCTTTTAACACTACTGGGTTGAAGACGAAAGGTAGGGAATTTCAGATGTATTACTTTCAGATATAACTATCTTAACATTATTTTAGTGTTAACATCACACATTAATGCTACATAGAAATAACTGCACAACATTTCAAGAAAAAACACTTATTTAAATCCCATTCTTCTGTGCATTTTAGGCACAGGAGCACTGACATTCCACATTAGCTGTTACAGAGAGATGAACTGTAAGATAGAACTGGGAGACTTTATTCTGCACTGATATACAGTCTTGCACCAGAACTACATCTCCTTATAATGGATGCCCTGGAGAATTAATACATTTTTGTAGAGTGTAAACAGAAAAAATATAACCAAGCTGTGTATCCAAAAAAATATTTTCAAAGCTTCTGTGCCAATTATGGCTGCTCTTTAGTACAATAGAGCCCCCAAACCACTACACACATGCTTTATTGCAGCCTGCATGACCCCAATATGCAGTTCATTCCTGACAAACACCTATACTGAATTAGAAGATTGTGGTTCATCAGGATATAATAAGCTGTAGACTGGATCCCACAGTTCAATAGCACAGAATATAGTTTCAGTCTACCTACAATTGGAAAAATAAATCAGGTAACTTTGTCCAGGCACTATGAGGTTATATGAAACACACCAACATGGTGTGACTGTATAAGGCTCTTAGAAAAGGTAAAATATGTGATTTCTAGTTTGCATGAAGGCCACCATAGACCACATGTATACAGAGGTATAAAGTTCTTGATCCTCCTTCCCTAGAAGTGAATAGAAAATGCCAAACTTTCTGATTCAACGCTAGTAAGCATTTAGTGGAGAAGTAGGCACCTGGCAGAGGAAAACAGGTGTTGTTCAACACTGGTTTTCCCTTTGCTGCAGCAACCTAGAACCTATTGTTGTCCTATGTCAAATAGGCAGTTTTTGAAACATAACTATGCTTTCTTTCACTTTTTATTTCCAGCTGCATTGCACTGATGAGTTTCTCTAAAGAGACAGAAATGCCCCTAAGCCTGCACTTACCGACCCTAAGGACCTGGCCCTCTAAATATTACTTTGTTATGGTTTAAGTGGGCCAGACTTACTTTTTTAGTGCCCATAGGAAGACCTAGAGATAGGGTCTTTAGGACCCAGAGGGATATGGGAGGGGCAGAACAGAGAGGAGTCAGTATTCCCTCCCATTACTGCCATACTCTTATAAAAGCCAGGAGGACTGGAAGCCCAGCTCTTTTTTTTCTTCTCCCTTCTTCCTTTCTGCCGCTGCACTCAGAGGTCTTGGAGAGAGGCTCCCACTTTTCCATCAGCTCACCATGTTTTCTTCAGAATCCAAACCCATTGGGTGCTGGGAAGAGCTGTGGACCCCTCTCCTGAGTTGTCCCTGCTGCAAGGGACCTCCAGACATCTGTCTCTGTGATCATCAAGACTGAGTTTTGTATATATTTGTATATACTTGCATATATTGTTCCTCATCCTGTATGTTACTACCTTTTTATGGTTCCACTAAATGTGTTCCAGTTTTAAGTCTCTCTGCCTTATTTCCCCTTTATCTTCCCTTGGGAGGGTGGAAGTAGGTAATGGAGACTAGTTCTGTCCTTTGGTTTTTGGTTTGCCCTAACCACTAAACCAAGACATCCTTCCATGTATCTGATACTACCATTTGACTGTGGAGTATTTTTCTGCAAAATATTGTATGGACTGCAACGTAAACAGACAGCTTTTGCTAGTTTCTATTTCTTTGCTCTGTTCAAGCCAAGTCCTTCATACGTACCCAAAAGTGCTGAAATATTAATCATAAAACCAAAGATACCACTCTCTGGAGGTTTAGTTCCAGTGTCACTAAAGCAGGGAGAGAGAGAGAGAAGAAATTAAAAATTGAGATATGCAAAACATAAATGAGACTTACACATGAAACCCTAAGAGACATGTAACTTGTGTGAATCACTGATATGCAAAAAACATTTAAATATACAAATTTGAATGTCACCTGCTGCACACTTAAGCTCCAGTTGAAGTACTGAATCTTTCTTTTTAGAAATAAATCATGTTTTTAGAGCATGTTGTTTGAACTGTTGTCCTGATTTTGCTGGGACAGAATTATAAAATATTTTTTTCTGTTCAGAGAAACTGTAGTTTTGAGATGCTGCAGAGTCCAATTCTGCGGGAACAAAAGAGACAAGATGTGTATTTTTCTTTTATACTCAGCTCTGGTTTGCAGGTTTCCTTAGAAACCAAGGTGGAGGGTAGCTCTGAACCATGCAGGTGCAGTGGGCTGGGAGGGGCAAAGCCCAGGGCAGCTGACCCAAGCTGGCCATTCAAAGTATTCCATGCCATAAACATCACCCTCACTATAAAATGGGAAGTTTGTGAGGATGTTTTCAGGACTTCTACCATGGCTGAATTCCTGAGAGTGTCCCATCTGTCTTGTCTGTTGTCCTGTGCCTGAGGCCTCCTCCTCCTTGCCTTGCTGTGACTGTCGCGTTCTGGCTGGAGCCATCGCGCAGCACTCAGCACTCTCTGCTGGGAGCACACAGCTTGTGACTGCTGTTTGGAGCTGAGTATAGCTTTGTGTCTTATGTTAACATTGGGGCTAATATTAGTTCATTATTATTATCCTATTAAATCTGTTTTAATGTCAACTCATGAATCCCCTTTCCTTTTCCGAATCCCTGCCCCAGGTGGGGTCAGGTGACAGGACAACTAACCAACCCACAAAAACTGTATTTCTTCCTTTTCTGCAAGCAAAATGCAGAGATGTGACAGAGCCATACTTTGATTGTGAATGACATAAATGGTTACATAAACAACATTTCAGAAATTACATTTCTTTCATCTGCTAAACTAACACTGTGATAGAGCAAAATATTTCTGATTTAATTCAGTATCCTAAGATGTGAGAGAACTTGGCCTAATTTCCTGATTTGTTTGAAAGGACTTTACTCCAGGAGAGCAATTGTGTTCCAATGCCTGGGAGCATTCTTAGGCACTGTTTAATTTACTAATGTAGATACAGCTTAAGAGTACTCTAGGTCCAAGGTGTTGTAAGTTTCTTCTGCTGAAGCAATTCACCCTCACAAGGGACAATTAGAAGTTCATTGGGCCAGGCAGACAGACCATGAGTGTGAGAAGTCTACATAGTTTATGCATATTCATACATGCAGACATATAAATGAAAAACATCATATATACAAAAGATATGTCTTATAGAAAATGGAATAGCTTCATCATAGAATCCTTTTCTCTCTTTTCCTTACATATGTGCATACACTCACACAAACACCCACACCAGAGAATGCCCTTTCCTCACAGGGAGGACATACTCCTGGGAGTATGTGGGTTTGAGGCCCCTCCAGTAGGACTTTTACACAAGGTGTAATAAGAATACAGCGATGTCATCACCTCTTTACGCTATTTTTTTCTTGTCTAGCATACAACCAGTCAAGGATATCTATTTGATCAGCCTCTGTTGGTCAAGCCAATGGAAGACATGTAGCTCATAAATCTGTACATAATTTGGGTATTATTATTATCAGTGGCAAGAGGCATGTTTGTGTGTGCAACCAGAGGCACCCAAGGAAGTCCACTGTCAGAAATGTAAACTACAGATCTTAGCTAATACTGAAGTTCAGTGGAAACAGCAAATATTCTGAGAACACAATGTTCTTTTAGGTCTATGATGAGACGAGTAGGTACTAGCTAGATATTTTTAAAATGTGATTCAGGAAGATTAATATTCTTCATTCCAACTGAGAGGCTGGACCAGTTTAATAAAATCATTACGACTGGAAAAGAACTCTAAGATCATCAGATCCAACCGTCAACCCAACACCACCATGCCCGCTAAACCATATCCTGAAGTGCCATGTCTATGCATATTTTAACACCATCACGGATGGCAACTCCACCACTTCACTGGACAGCCTGATCCAATGCTCAACCACTCTTTCAGTAAATAGATTTTTCCTAATATCCAATCTAAACCTCCCCTGGTGCAACTTGAGGCCATTTCCTCTCATCCTGTTGCTGGGAGAAGAGACCAACACCAACCTCAGGCTGTTGAAGAGAGTTAAACTTCCAGTGCTAAACTTTGGAACCCACCACCTAGTGCAACCAAAATGACAGGTGCTCAGCATGAATTGAATGTTTCTCCTTACATAAGTAATAATTCATAAAGAAAGATTGCATCAATTCTGTTAACTTCAAGCCAGAAGAGTACGACCACGTCATAATACTTATTTTTTTTACAAATTATATTCTCTCACAATCTCCGTTTATGTAACAGAAGCATTTGTGCAATCACTTGCTGAGACAACTTATCAAGAACTGCAGGAAGCTTATGGTGAACAGCGAACACCTTTGTATGAAAAGCTGATGCAAAAAGTACAGAAAAGTCTTATATTTCTTTTGACTGGATTGGTCCCAGATTCTCAGACAACAAAGCTTGGACCAAGCTTTTAGACAAGTTTTTACAACTTTGCAGGCATTAAGAATCCCTATTCATCTGTATTTTCTTGCCACAATGCTTTCTGAGGACTTGCTCCAGCTTGTATTCTGTGTTAGTCTTGTTTCTTTTTGATAGTGGAATTGATGAAAACAGTAGAGTTGCTCTCATTAATTATTTTTTTTTAACACTTCTGAAAATCATCTCAATCTATAATTCATTTAGCCCATTTTTTAAACCTGACCCTCACATCTCTTCCTTATCTTTCTGTAGTGTTTTCATAAATATGACAAAGGACTCCATTTAAAAAGTGGGCCACTTGAGAAAATCCTGAAGGACTTTTGCAAATCAGAAACTGCCCTATGCTAAGTAGAGGACTGTGATCACTTCGAAGCTTTTGGAGGACTTTAGGTGAGAAAAGAATGGAATCGGCACATGCAAAGAAAGCCACCTGCAGTTCTTGGAACACTTCACACCATAAGAGCAATCCAAACAACTTGAAATTGCACTGAACTCCATTCACTTTGAATTAAAACTTTTCTCAAGCTAGAGCTTATAGGTGAAATTTGCTACTGTTGATTTTTAAGCTTAATAATCTTAGTTGTAGGCTTCTGAGAAATTTTACACCAAGAACACTGTATCATATCTACAATGCATTTACAAAGTACTGTACTTGATTTTTAAGGATACAATATTTTTAATGCTATGTTTCCACTAAAAAATCCCTTAAGCTAAATGTAAACATGGGTACATTTTTTTTTACTTCTTCTCTGCTGCTTTGTGAAACAGAACAAAAGAGTATTTTGCAAAAGAATTAAAAAGAGTAATAAAAATGGCACATATGAAACAAAAACTTGTGCTCATTTATTTGCAATGGTGCATAGGTGAGCAAAACTGCCATGGAAAAGACAAGGAATCTAGTATGAAAATGTCAGCATTTGTGTCACTGTCTCATGTAGTAGAATTCTACAAACAACCAATTTTCTGAAGAGTGGAAAAACAAATAGGAAGAGGAAACTGGGAATAAATATAACAGGGCCAAAAGATCAATCATCATCAAATTTTCTTCATAGCCATCACAAACTATTTATCTCCAAACTGAAGTTCCAAATTATTAAAGTAGGAAAATTATATTCTGCCTACAGGGATTCTGATTGATTCAGAAGTATAACTGGCAGCAAATATCTCAAGGAAAATTCCCTTTACTCCTTCATCGAGAATTCAAGCCAACAAACAGCCACCACAGCACATTCAAATTAGTTTGGATTTTGAGTAGTATGAGAAAGAGAGCTAATTTGTGCACAATCTAATAATCTTTTAGGCTTCTACTGCCAGAAAACACAATCTCATATTAATCTTTATCTACCCAGGAATGTATTTATATGGTTTACTTAATGAGACACCAGCGCAGGCTCAATGACAAATTTAGACGTGGTCTTTCTTTCATTGTGATAGCTGTTACATGATAAATAAATAAGACTAAAAAAGTTACCTCAAGGCATTCACAGGGTACTTAAGAAATGTAAAAAAGAATTACAGAAATGCTGAACTAAACCTTTTCAACATTTTTTTCTGTCATGTAACTGGAATTTCCTCACACAAGCTCTGTTTAATTTTTATAGTTAATTTTAAGGTATTGCACAACTGAAATGTTGCAACATTCTTCCTCTTTCTTTTTTATCAGACTGAAGTTTCACTAAATCACATTCTTAATCCCATGATTCAGTTTCTTAGGCTAAAGCAATTACTTACAAAATAAGAATATGAACTCTGGTATGACTACTGGCCTGACTTCTTAGAACAAATCATCACATAACTCCCAAGTGCACCTTCTACAAAGACCATATGCTTTGACTATATGCTTTTAGAATGATAACAGATTTTTCACCAAGAGCCAATGTATATCCTTAGTCCAAATGCTGTGTTAAAAGGACATAAAAATAACAAGACATCTGTATTTTAAAGAACTTTACTAGCAAATGTAGAGGGCCTGAAATATGTTTTGGGTTTTTTTTTAAATCACCGATAGAACCTCATATGTCAAGTTTGTTTTGGTTTGGTTTTTTATGGTTGTGGACATTTATTGTGGTTCCTTAGTAAAGGATAAGAGTGGTTTTTTTCCAGTGAGATGTTCAGTTAGATTGATTTGGCTGTGACAGTTGAGACACATTCATCAGAGTTACAGAGCTCTGATTTGTAGTTTTGTCTACCTCCCTAAAAGCAATGACACTTAAAATTGAGATATCTGCGCTTTTAAGATCTTGACTGCAAACACAATTATACATGAAAAAAACTGTCCTGTTCTTTCATGTATTTTATTCAAGGACATGGCATAAGGTGCAACATAAGAATAATCTGTCAAGTTTTTCACTACAGGACCTCAAAACCCTTCTGAGAACAAACCATGTACTGAACGTGGGCACAGTTACATCAAATAGGTTATTTTTCTTGGGTTAAATAGGGGTTAAATTGCATTGGTTACAAATGCTTTTGTGTTAGTAAAATTCCAAGTAATCAGCGGAGAACACAAGTTTAACCACAATTGTTAGGGCAGTAGGGTATTTGTGTATGTACAAGAGAACAAGGCTTTCCAAGAACTGAGTCCATATTTGGGTGTATAAACTTGACTTTTTTTGCTAACGTAAGCATGAAGCCCAACTTCCTTTGGCTCAGTTTGAATGAAGCTCAACTTCCTTGTGGGTTGGGGTGCTATTTGCATCATCTCGCTTGCTTATGATGACCATAATTTTCTATTAAGTGTATGTGTGTGTACGAATCAGGTTAGCATCCTTCTGAAATTAAGCATGTCCATAAAGTCCTTCCAGGTATTAGGTGTAGATGTATCTTTAAACATGTAACTGAAAATCTTTTTTAGCCCCTCTATATATCAGAGACCATTCTTGGATTTCTGGGTTATCTTTAATCTTTTACCAGGGAGATAGTAGTAATTTCACCGTTCAGATTGAAATATTAACATAATCAATAGAGAACCAATTATGTATACAGAACTGTGCTTAAATGGCTAAGGTTACAGAAAGCAGATGCCAATCATCTCTCAGGGAGCCTTTTAGAGTCATTGCTCTAACCTAAAACTCTAAAATTGTGTGTTTGTGGGTGTCTGTGTCCTACAAAGCCTATTGTAGGGCTTCAAGTCTGCTCACCACTCGCTGCACTTTGGCCCAGTTCTGGAGTTACACAAACAGAACTACATTTCTACCACTTGTTTCAGGTCCTTTCTACCACGTTTGTCAGCTTTCAAAGGCCTGTGGCTCTCAGGCCTGGGCGCTAAGGTGCGGAGGGTGACAGGAGCACAGAGCGGGTCCCCGCTCTGCCTCCCCGCCCCGCCCCCGCTCCTCCTGCTGGGAACCCCAAATCCGTGCCACGACCCCGGCCCCAGACGGAGGGGGGAAAGACCCGCGGAGCCGGACCTTAGGGAGCCCCATATCAGCAGGGTGAGCCTTCTCCTCCCGCCCCGCAGCCCGGCGCGTTTCCCCATCCCCCGCCGGCACCTCAGGCGCTCCCACCACCGCCCTCCCCTCACCTGATGTAGGGGACCAGGGGCTCG